TATATATATATATATATATATATATATATATATATACATATACATACACTGGACTCATAAAATCATAATAACTTCTGAATTTATGAGCCCCATTACAGCCTGCATGTCAGTATGAAGTGTAGTGGGGCACAATATAATATTCTTATTTTCCTTTTAAAATGACGTCTTTTCACACACAGCTAAAACTTACACAGAGCTAAAATGCTAATATGTTTGCCAAAACTAGGGCATATAAATCTCGTAAACTGCATACAGTCACCCTCTTCGTCCACCTCCATGCTTATGCTAGCAGCAGCTGTGAGTGTTTGCAGGGGGGGGGTGCAGATAGAGCTCACTGAATGGAGGGGGAGCACTGAACAGCTCAGCACTCAGGAAGGGAGGGTCAGAGGATCAGTATCAGCCCCTGGGTTGTTTCTTTCAGCTATTCGCAGCAAAAATATATCTTTTTTTATATCTTCCTCATTTTGGCTGAAGTCAAGACGCAAAAATTTGGCTGGAGAAATCGAAACTCAAGTGGGAGAATCCATTAGTTATGTACACAAAAAATCTCCAAGCAGTGGACAAAACACTGCAAGGAATGAAAAACTAAGGACATCCCATCTGAGTTTTGTCAAAGACCTTTTTGGATCACAGGAAGAAACGGAAAAAAAGTTGCACTGCTTATATGAGCCAAATGTGACTTTTTGGTCTTGTTGAAAATAACTATGTGGTAGCAAGGTAACATTAACCATCGAACTATAAAACACCATTTTGCTTCAGTAAACATAGTGGTGGCTGCATTATGCTTTGCAAATGTTGTCCTCCAGCAGGGACAAAAGTCTGTCAGTCTAAACCAATTGATTCTAGACTAATTGAAATTCTGTGACAAGATATAAAAACCTTTGATTTCAGATGTCCTCGTTCCAATCTAAGTGAGCTGGAGCTGTTATGCAGAAAAATGAAGGACTGCACTGGTAGAGACAGACTTAGACAAAAATAAATAAATAAATAAATAATAAAGATCCTTTAGCCCTTTCTCTGTTGGTGAATTATATAAAATCCCAGTTAAAATAGTGCAACTTCATGTTGTGCAAATACAAAATATGAAAAACTGTAGGAACCTTATCTGTTATTTTGTATCTATTTTTGTCTTTATGGCCTTCCTGTCTTCTTACTTTTGTTTGCCATCTCTTTCTCCATTAAAAAGCAATGTTTTCTCTCCAGTATTGTGTTTATGTTGTTTTGGGTTTTGTTTTTCTTTGTCTTATAATTCCTAATAAGATTTTTACCATGTAAGAAATGGATGAAAAACAATTTAAACTCATTAAAGCAGACGTGGCAGCAATTTTAGCTCAAGCATTTCAGTTAAATGGAACTCTGCTTATGAGAGTGAGCAGTGTGTCTTTAGTAATTTT